TGAAAGCTACTGAATAGTAGTGGGTTTTTAAATGGGATTTGAAAACCGTTTAAGTCACTTGCTCTGGCGCTGCTCCCCCAGCAGATGATGGCAGAAAATATAGCACTCTCTACAACAGACTTTCACAGGTAGAAGATATGCAGCATCTTGCTGTAAACAATGAAGGACTTCAGCTTCCTCAAGAAGTACAGTCTGCTCTGTCCCTTCTTGTAGACACTTCACTGTTGCATTTCCAGTTCAGTCTGTTGTCCATGTGAACCCCAAGGTATTTATACTTCTCCACCACCTCCACTTCTTCTCCCATGATGGAAATAGTGTTTGACCTGTTCCTGATTCTCCTGAAATCTACAATCATCTCCTTTGTTTTGTTCACATTCAAGATGAGATGATTGTTTCCACACCATGCCACAAAGTGGTCCACCAGTTCCCTGTCCTCAGATTCTTGTCCATCTCTGATACACCTGATGAATTAAGCCACATATTGAAAACTTGCAAAAAAAAACTGAGATCGAAACTGGATTTGTTTTACCAAAATATTTATTGTTTAACTCAGATTACCAGGAAACGCCTTGTGGTTGCCACTTTCCTACCAGTTCTATATTATGGTGACATTATTTAAATGAATGCACCTGCCATTTCCTTGCAGATGTTGGAAGCTGTCTGCCATAGCACACTAAGATTCATAACTGCTTGTAACCACCATACCATCACTGCACTATGTACTCATTGGTCAGTTGGACACCATTACCTACACATAGGCCCTCACACTGGTACATCATCTTTAAATCACTCCTTGGTCTGCTGCCTTCTTATAGCTCCTCCCACATGTCACATCATCAGTGCAGTTACAGCGTGCGCTCTCAAGCCAACATTACCTGCAACGTTCCCTCAGTACAAACTGGACTTGGCAAAAGCCTTTTCTTACTCAGCTCCTGTAACTTGGAACACCTTGCAACAAGACCTGAAGTTGTCCACTTTGATTTCTTTAATTTGTATGACTATATTATAAAGAGTGAGAACACTGCATAAATCAGTGCATCTGGTTTCAATGTTCCTCAGACAGTAGGAGATGGAGAACGGGACATTAGAAGATGCGGATGCGATGTGGGACAAGGTGGAATGCAAGCGCTACGAGCTGTGTTGCGTCATCACCCCGGCAAAGCTGACCCCGTACCTGCGTCAGTGCAAAGTGCTGGACGAACAGGATGAGGACGAGATTCTCAACTCCCTGCTGCTCAGTGCCAAAGCAAACCGCACAAGTGAGTGGAAAGTTGTCAGTGCAGGACTGTGCTTTTAATTTTATCAGTGGTTAGCTGTGGTTTAGGTAGCATGGCAACCTTTCTTATTCAAAACATAATGACATGAGTCAAACTTTTGTCAGGTCGTCTGCTGGACATCCTCCGCACTAAAGGAGACCAGGGGTATGTGGCGCTTTTGGAGAGTCTGGAGTTTTACTACCCCGAGCTGTACAAGTCGGTGACAGGAAAAGAGCCCACTCGACGCTTCTCCTCCATCGTAGGTGAGATCAATACTTCTAAATGCACACGAGCATGCATGGACACACAATGTCTACACACAGCTGACCGGCTGCATGAAACAAAGTGTGGACAGATGCAAACATCCGATCATTTTTCCTCTAATGGGGAATGTTGTGACTTTGCTGGTTGGGGTTAGAATATGTGGTTCAATCCAAGATGTCCCATGTGATAAAATATGACGTGCATCTTCATTTTTATTCTGCCTTCTGTTTCTTTCCTTCAGTGGAGGAGGGTCAGGAGGGTCTGACCCAGTTTCTCATGAGTGAAGTAATGAAACTGCAGCAGCACACCAAAGTCAAGACCCTGCAGAACGCAGAGCTCAGCAGGAAGACACGCACGCTGGAAGATGAGCGCAAGAAGCTCAGCTTGGCTAATCAGGAGCTTCAAGCCTTCCAGCAAAGTAAAAATATGTTTATGGTTATTGCACCTTTAGTTCTTGATTCACACTCTTCAGTCTCCCAAATTCTCTGGTGAATTTTATTAAAGCAGACAAAAAACAAAAACAATAATCGAACGATTAATGGAAAGCTTCACACCCTGCTACACATTATTTGTATTGTTTAGCTTTTGTGAAGCTCCACAGTTGAGTTTAACAAAGATTTAAAATCAGACAAAGCAGGTCATGAAACTAGAACACTGACCTTTGTTTTAACATCCTGTGCAAGCTGCCTCACAAAGTGCTTTTTAACAAATCCTGAGAAAAATGACCAGCTCAGCATAGTTTTTATTTTTTGCCGTTTTCAGTCACGCAGATAAGAAAATTGTCTTTTTTTTTTCAACAAACTGTTATTACAGGAATATCTCATGTTCAAGTTGTCTGAAGGGAGGTTCTGTGGAAACATACATCTAATTGAAATTGTACTTGTTGCAGATCGCCTTGAACTACTTCAGTTTTGACAAATACTTTAAATCTGACCTGACTGACTAGCTAACGCACATATGGGCAACATATGGCCCAAGGGCCAAAAGTGGCCTTTGAACAATCTCCATCTGGCCCCTACTATCACAAACTTAAAAGAAAACAACTTTACAATAAGTGGATGAAAACCTTCATTTTAATAATAAAACTTATGGAAATCTAAATTAAACACTTTGGACAGATACGTCTACAGTAAAGCTGTTGGATCAAGATAGGTCAAACATTTTTTTTTCTGGCAAGTCATTGACCTGACCAAGAATTGACTTTAAAGATTAAACAAAACAAACAAATGACATTTTTAGTGGCATATTTTAAGCTAACAATTACATTGCACAAGAACAAGTTTGCAGAAAGTATGTCTTCTTTCCCTGGAGGGTATTGGGAAGACATATTTTTACCAAGCATGCTAACTATGCTGTTATGTTGTTTATTTGACATATGCAGGTTAACACAAGGTCAACAGTGCAATGAAATGTTCAGGATGAGAAGAACCGATTTGACTCGCTAAAAACAAACAAACAAATAAACAAGAAATACTAAAGCATACAATAAGGGTACAAAATAAAATACCAAAAAGTGAAAAAGAAATATAATATTTACAAGCTTCAAAAGAAATATAGTAAACAACAACATGGTAGAATACAACAGGGCAAGTAGGATGAATTAATATAAATAAATATTTCACAGGTAGTAATATTAGCTTAAATGCACATGATATATATTGCACATAACATAAACTACACAGGTTGTGTGACAGGTTATTGCACAGGTAGTGAGGTTGTATTATGATGGTAAGGTAGTGACATACAAAGTACATGATACAGGCACATAGTGCAGCAGCAATAAACATATTAGTTGTCACAGATGTGGCTTGGTGCAATGTTATTGTCAGTAGTTCAGTATTATTATTGAGAGCTCAGTAATCTGACAGCTTGTGGATAATAACTGTCCGTTAGTCTTTTTGTGCGCGATGGCAGCCACCTGTATCGTCTGCCTGAGGGCAGTGGTGGAGAAACTACTCAAACACTGTACTTAAGTAAAAATACAAATAAACAAAAAAAAAGTGCTCTAGTAAAAGTAGAAGTACCACCTTAATGTTTTTACTTAAGGAAAAGTAAATAAGTACTTGTGTTTAAAAATACTTAAAGTATTAAAAGTAAAAGTACTTGCTGAATGTATCATCTAATGCAATGGTCTACAATATCATTAAGTGTATCTACCGTATGTATATTTTCTGTACTACATTAATAGTGTTGAGCCATTTTAATGAACAATGCTGCAGATAATACATGTTTTTATTGTGTTTACTCTGTGACACAGTTCACACTTGGACTTGTGATTCTGTGCGTCAGAATTTCAGGATGACATGTAGAGTTAAATGTCATTAAGCAAAATAAGAAAGAGGAATGATTATACCTTTGAAAGTTTTTATTTAACACAAAGCAAAACCAATGTGTCATTTTAACTGCAGTAAACACATTTAAGTAAAAGATGTCTGGTCTGCCTGAAAAAAAGGAGCTTAGACACAACTAACAAAGAGGCTCTGATCATTTCAACTCCAGTTTGTCATCAACTCTAGTTAAAATACTGTCTATTCAACCTTGTAATGAGTCAATAGTGAACAATATTTTAACTTCCTGACACCATTTTCAAAACTTGGACTCGAGTGTTGAGACATTTAGAGACCTCTCTTGTCTCCTAACATCCATGAACTGACACATTTTAATATTGCAGCAAGAATTTATTGTTCAAGTTCAGAAGAAGTTGGTTTTCAAAGTTTTTTGAGTCCAGTCTGGATATTTTGGGAGAAAATCTGCCCTGCTGTACTGAATAGTATTTCTATAGTCTTTTAATAATCTTTCAATAGTCTTTCAATAGTCTTTCAATAATCTTTCAATAGTCTTTCAATAGTCTTTCAATAGTCTTGCAATAATCTTTCAATAGTCTTTCAATAGTCTTTCAATAATCTTTCAATAGTCTTTCAATAGTCTTTCAATAATCTTCCAACAAGGCCATGGGTGGTGCGTATCTTCTGGCTGACTCTCCACGGTGGAATCAATTTTGCGTGTGTTAGCGGTGCTGTGGGTGCATCCAGCTCAGTGATGTATACGTCATTGACCCAGTTCTTCTTGAAGGCCACTTTGCAGTGATCCAACGGACCAACTTCCCTCGCCATTGGTTATTTTCAAACTAATGAACAAATCAGAAAAACGTAACGTGAATTTAACTTGTAACTCCACACGTTATAGAAATGTAGTGTAGTAGAAAGTACAGATACTTAATGTAAAATGTAGTGGAGTAAAAGTCAAAAGTACCCACGTTTAACTTTACTTAAGTAAAGTACAGATACATGAAAAATGTACTTAAGTACAGTAACAAAGTACTTGTACTTTGTTACATCCCATCACTGCCTGAGGATAATAGATGGAAGAGTCCTTGTGCTGGGTGGGTGTGGTCCTTATTGATGCTGCGTGCTTTACGCAGACACCGGCTGTGATAGGTGTCCTGGATGGTGTGGAGACTGCTACCAGTGCTACAACAAGAAAAAACCTGGAAATGTCTTCTGGATTGTTGTTCTTAAAGTAAATGTATTTTCCAACTCACTTTGGCTCTTCGATCGCTTTAAATAACTTGATTTGTTCGTCTGGTAACAAAATGTTGCCCACTCCTGAGCTAACGGCTAGTCTGAGCACGGCCATCTTTGAAAACTCTTTACATGGCTGACGTTTTCAAGTAACGTAGTTATTCTGGCAGAAACTGCACAAACATTTGGTGATTTTTAGAGTGGCAAAAAGATACAATCAGTAAGTCGTTATTCAATGTATTTTTAATTATTTCTGGTCGTTCAGGGTACAACAAGCTGCGGGAGGAGAGAAACACCTACAGCGACGAACTGCTGAGAGTGAAGGATGAAAACTACAAACTGGCCATGAGGTACGCCACGCTGAGCGAGGAGAAGAACATGGCCGTGATGAGGAGCCGAGACCTGCAGCTAGAGGTTCCGCCACGTCAGACGAAACACATCCGTACACAAAAGATAAGTTATTAACCGTTTTTAACCTGTAGATCGACCAGCTGAAGCACAAGTTGAACAAGGTGGAGGAGGAGTGCAAGATGGAGAGGAGGCAGAGTCTGAAACTGAAGAACGACATCGAGAATCGGCCGAAGAGAGAGCAGATTTTTGAGCTGGAGCGAGAGAATGAAATGCTGAAGATCAAGCTGCAGGAGCTGCAGTCCATCATACAGGTACAGCCGGACGGATACGTTTGTTCAGAATGTCTTGTTTTTTAAAGGAGCTGGTAAATGCTGTGCGTGCTGTCAAACTGCAAACTGTTAGACAAAATAAAGCGTGCAGACTTTGAATATTTGTCATCACCATTACACTCGTTTTTTCCGCTCTTCAACAAACAGCATCAATAATTAAGAAAGAAAACAATTTGTCACAAATCCAGTCTTCCATTTTTCACCACACGTATCGTGTTTGTGTGTTTCCACCCAGCCTGGCCCCTTACCAGCGTCAGACAAAGCCATTCTTGACATTTTGGAGCACGACAGACAGGAAGCTCTAGAAGACAGACAGGATCTGGTCAACCGCCTCTACAACCTGCACGAAGAAGTCAGACAGGCAGAGGAGCTGCGAGACAAGGTCACAACTCACTCTGTCAACAAAACATTCACACGAAACAGAAACGGTGACGAAGAAAATAGTCCACCCTCACCCTCTCCTGGGCGGCTGTGGCTGAGTGGTTAGAGCAGTCGGCCTCCAATGTCAAAGTTGGGGGTTCGATTCCACTAGCAGTCACATGCTGAAGTGTCTCTGGACAAGACACTGAACCCCTCATTGCCTCTGATGTGTGTCCCATCAGTGTATGAATGTGATAAAGCTCTGATTATTCTCTGTAGAGATATAGTAGAGTGTATGAATGGGTAAATGAGGGCACAGACTGTAGAGTAAAGAGCTTTGAGTATCTTGATGGTGCTATATACTGTAAGTACAGTCCATTCATCTTAATTCTAAGCTTTTGTGTATTAGGAGATTTAAAAAATGACCTGGTCTTTTCTGATTTAACTTAAAGTGTACAAAAACATACAAGAGAGTCCACCATGGCACTAACTATAAAACAAAAAGAAAGACCAGATGAAAAAGTTGAGGATGGAAAATTAAATGCAGCTTTGTCTTGTTAGAAAATTACAATAAGGAGGTGATGATCAAAAGAGCCGTTTCTGCAGCTTGTTCACTAAATTAAATGTGTCCGGAGCCGCAACACTTGCTACAACTGGGATTATCAACTGGTGGCCCATGGGCCACTTTAGGTTTGTTGGAGGGGGCTTTTGTAGCTACAGTATATATTATAAAGCTAAAAATACAGTATCTAATGATTTTTAACATATATTGATATTTTTACAGTTGAAAACAAAAGAAAAGACCAGATTATTGTAAAGAAAGAAAAATAATATTTTTTTTCCAATAAAAAAAAAGTAAACAAATTATGAACTATGCAGACCTATGTTGTTTTTTTATTTATTTTGGAAAAAATAATTAATTAAAGAAATAAAACATAAAGCTAAAATGAGTATTTTTTACTTCTTTTTTTAGTTCTAGTATTCACTATTCACATATTTGCAAAATAAATGACCAAAAAGCTGACAAATAGCCAAAACCATCTTTTTTTTTGGTGTAACAACCAATAAAATTCAGTTTTGTGTTAGTTTTGGTCAAACCTTGAAAGAGCCACTGCAGAGAGACCAAAGAGCCGCATGTGGCTCCAGAGCCGCAGGTTGCAGACCCCTGTTTTAGAACAAGGTCTTTAGGACAGATAAGCCCAGATAAAGTAAAGATGTTTACCCATAATGCACGGCAGCATGCTTGTCCAAAACCAGCATATGCACAAACATCTTATACCAACATGGTAAAGCATGGTGGTGGTGTGGGGTGGTGGTTTGGGGTTATGATTTGCAGCAACAGGACCTGGACTCCCTGTAGTCACTGAGTCAACCATGAACTCCTCTGTAGACCAGAAGGTTCGAGAGTCAAATGCGAGACATCTGACTGGAAGCTGGAGCTTCATCCAAACTGTCATGATGAAATGCCTACTTGTTAAATATATTAGTTTGAAGCAGGGGTTCAGAAATACAAACCGGTCACCTCCTTTAGCATTTCTTCTGTCTGCGTGTCTTTTCCTTATAGTAACAGCAGCTGGTGTGTGTTCCTTGTGTGTGTTCAGTACTTGGAGGAGAAGGAGGAGCTCGAACTGAAGTCCTCCTCGCTTCAGAAGGACTGTGAAATGTATCGCAACCGTATCGACACCATCACCACCCAGCTGGAGGAGGTGGAGAAGGAGAGGGACCAGGTGACAAACACACTCCGTCTCGCGCACACTCGTAGGTTTCGGCCGCTCGGACTGACGGCGACGCCTCGTCCCGTTTGCAGGCATTTCGAGCCAGAGACGATGCCCAGCATCAGTTCTCCCAGAGCCTCATCGACAAGGACAAATACAGGAAGCAGATCCGAGAGCTGGAGGAGAAGAGCGACGAGCTCCACATCGAGATCGTGCGCAAAGAGGCCAAGCTGGTGACACTCGAGTGTCGCCTTCGAAGGATGTCCAAAGACACTCCTCTGGACCAGGTTGAACACAGCAGAATAAATGGAAACACATGATCACTGATGTTTCCTGGAATGTTGAAGTTACTGTTATACACAGTGTTACGAACATTGGTCCTTGAGGGGGGGACCACAGTTGGGAACCACTGCATTACATCACACATCACACATCACACATCACATGGTTATTTGCAAGCGCTTCTTGGTTTAATTGCAGCTGATTTTAGAATCAGAATCAGAATAAGCTTTATTATCATTGCACTGAGATACAATGAGAATATGTCCGTACAGTCGTCTGAAAGATGGGTGGGGTGCACGTAGCTTCTGCTATAAGCCCGGCCTTCTTATCCTTTACAGAATACATATTTTAGATAGAAAAAGGGACAAAGCCATGAGGAGAGGATAGTGGCATTACAAAAAAAGATCTCTTCATATCTTGTCCTAACAGGACACGATTTAAGACATCAAAAAAACTGCCAGCAGCACATTTATGAACACGTTACATTTGCATTTGAGTATGAGGAGGTCCATGAATTACTAACAGATAGTCCATTGTCCTGATAAGATGATGGTCAGCCGGCACAGTTCTGATAAGCCTCCACTGAAATGGCCAGATTAGGGTGCATTCTACTGGTCCATGCTTATGAGCCTCTTCAAGGTCGTTTTCATGCTGACGAGTCCCAAAACCATAGGTGGCCTGTGATTCAAATCACTTCCACCTTACGGTTTAGCTCGTAAATCAGCTGATTTTGAGTCCTCAAAGCACGAACCAAACCTTCACTAAGGGTGCATTCACACTAGCCCTGTTTAGTCCGCTTTAATCGAACTCTAGCTCGTTTTCCTAGAAAGTCCGGTTCGTTAAGGGAGGTGTGAACGCGCCATCGAACTCTGTCACGGAACAAAAAGGCGAACTCTGGCCCGGGCTAAAACCTAGGTCTCGGTCCGGTAGAAGCGAACTCCAGCGCGGTTCGAGTACAGTGTGAATGTAAACAGACTGAGCCCCGCTCCGCAGGACAAACAAACACGCATTTCACTGACCTTATATGGAGCCGTCAGCTGCCTTGTAAAAACAGTATTCTCCATGGTCTTCTGTCTCATCTTCTGCTCATGCTAAGTCCATTTTTGAAAAATGACAAAATATAACTCATAAAACTGATAAAACTTGATGCCACTTCATTTTTATTTTTATTTACAGAAGAAGAAGACGTGTCTTCAGAGGTTTTTGTGTTGTTTCTTTCAGTAGTTTTTGGTGTAGCGCCCCCACAGGCGAGTGGGGGAACAGGTTGGTTCAACAGGTTGACTGACTGCACAGCGCAGTGTGAATGCAAACGCACCAGCTCAAATGTAAACAAAAGGTCATGAATATTGGTCCCGAACCGAACCGAGTCTATCGGACTATCAGGTGTGAAAATGACCTTAGGCTGCAGCCTAATGAGGCCAAATTAGCTGCTGCCATCTTCTTTGTACGTTGAGAAACCAGGATCCAGACAAGTCCAAACACAGGAAACCTGTTATCATATTGGATAATTACTTTTTTTTTTACTTTGTTTTCAGAATTTTCCAAGGGACCTCACTCCCCCCATCATCTCCCCGGGGCAAGGCCAGTCGGAGTGGTCCAGTGACGAGTCGCCCGAGGAGAAGGTCCAGCCTGAAAAGCCCCGTCTGAAACGCCGACCCAACCTCAAAGCAGGGGTTGGCTGCATTTTTGTATTTTTTTAACCTCTCTATCAATTATGTGCTGTTTACACAGCAAGATTTAGAATTGATGCAGGAAATCAGATGTTTGTTTAAAAAGACACATAATTATTTCGTGGTTTAGGTCGGTTAGGATTCTTAAATATATTTCTATTAGCTAAATGCTCAAAATATGAAAGAGAGACGTTTTTTATTTCTTTCATACACAAAGATTATTGTGCCTTTAAACAATATGGGAAAGCCCAGATGATGATATAATGGTTGTTGTTGACAACATCTAAGTTGCCTGGAGGCACATGTGTGGATGTATTTTAAGACTCCTCAAACACACTGCTTCTTTCTGTGGCACCATGTAAAAATCCAAAGAAACCAGCCAGGAGATCCAGAAGAGAACTGAGGACCTTAACAACGGGTTCATCTTTGGGTAGACTTTCTAGATGCCTGAAGATGCCACCGTCATCTGTTTAAACAATTTTGCACACGTTTGAACACTATGACCTGCCGTCATACGGTTCAGGAAGGAGACGAGGTCTGTGTTTCAGAGCTGAATGTGTTGTGGTGAAACAATAGCAAAAGGCCCCGTGAAGATGCTGCTGAAGCTGGTAAGAGCCTCTGGATCTGCAGTGAAACAAGTCCGACATGAGCTGAGAGCCCACTCAGAGCGCAGGAAGCCATTACGCGTAATCTGAGGGCAGCATATTTTGGGAAACATGCCCTGTGGTCTGATGAAACTAAAATTGAACTGTTGGTCATCACGAGCATTGTTACATTTGAAGATAAAAGGGAGAAGCTTGCAAACCTGAAAACACCACCCCAACTGTGAAGCACAGTGGTTGCAGCATCATGTTGTGGGGGTCTTTTTCTGCAGAAGGGACTGGTGCACATCACAAAATGGCTTTGTGATGAAAGAACATTGTGGAAATATTGAAACATCTCAAGACACCAGCCAGGATGTTAAAGCTTGGACACAAATAAACACAAATAAAAATAAATTTTAGAGTCCTAACTGACCTGACACAGGAAAGCTGTACTTTGATTTGATGCCAGACTGTGAGAAAATAAAGTAGCTTTTTTGTTACTTTGTAATGTATGTAAACTTCTGGTTTTATCTGTAGTAGTGATGTATTCTTCTACAAGTGACAGCCACTGAACTAATCAAACTATATATAGTGCTCATGTTAGCTACAAATTTGGGTTGTTTTGCTCTAAAGTTGTGTGAATGTTTATGAAGCATTCACTCCATTGTGATTCATTTTCCTTCCGTACATTTTTCTGTGCAATTCTTGTTCCACAATTTTTGTGCTATTTCAACAAATGATAAATCAAGATGTTCAGCTCTTTCAGGAGAAGGTGTTATGACTTTTGGTATTGGTGCAAATTTAGCTTTTTGAAATATTTAGCCTTTTCTGCCATTTTCATTCCTCATAGGAAATGAATTGAGCTCATTTTCCATCCTTCAAATCTTTAGATCTGTTTACAACCGTTTACTGCTCCTTTCACATTTTGTTCTGCTTCAGCTTCCTTGTGTAAATTTAATCTTTTTTTCAGCTACTTTCAGCAGCTTTTTCACCTGTTTTGTGCTCCTTTCAGATTCTTTTAGCTAACTACAATATTTTGGTGCTTCTTCTAACTTCTTTCTGCTAATTTCAGCTTGTTACGCTCATTTCAGCTTATTTCTGCAAGTTTCAGCTTTTTCTGCTATTTAAGCTACTATTTAGCTGTTTTATGCTAATTTTAGCTTTTTCAGCTAATTTCCTATTTTCTGCACTTGTTTCAACTTTTTTCAGCTTAATTCAGCAAAAATGTGCTCTCTCCACTTCCTTCTGGTAGTTTAAACTTCTTTCTGCTTTTTAGCAACTTTTCAGCTGTTTTTTTTGTTTTTGTTTTGCTAATTTAAACTTTTTCCAGATAAGTTCCACTTTTTGGGGGCTCATTTCTCCTTCTTTAAGCCTAATTGGGCAAATGTGCTATCTCTACTTCCTTCTGTTCTACCTTTTTAGCATTTTTTAAGCTAAATTCAGTTGTTTTTGGATAAATTCAAGTTTTTCATGGTAATTTCTGCTACTTTCAGTCTAATTAACTTATTTATGCTAATTTCGACTTGTTACGTTCCTTTCAGCTTTTTCTTCTATTTCTGTTACTATTTAGCTGTTTTTATGCTATGTTTAGCCTTTCCAGCTAATTCAACATTTTTTTTAGCTCATTTCAGCTCTTTCTATATTCTTCTGGTAGTTTAAGTTTATTTCTGTCTTTTTAGCTACTTTCAGCTATTTTTTGATAATTTTAATTTAATTTTCAATTTAATATAATTTCCAAATTTCTATGCTCATTTATGTTAATTTATACCTAATTCAGCAAAAATGTGTTCTTTCTACTTTCTTCTGTTAATGAATGCTTGTTGTTCTATTTCAGCTACATTTCAGCATGTTTTTTTTAAGATAATTTCAGCTGTTTTTCAGCAAGTTCTTCATCAATAAGCATTCCCACTGCATTTTCCACAGGAAATGCAATTTGTCTAGTTAGATTTACTTCAGCAAACGAGTAGCTGGAGCACTTTAATCTTTACAAAAGTTTGCTAACTTCACTCATTTTCCATATGTTTTTCCTATGAACTACAAACATGCAAATCACAGTTGTTTGGTTATAAAAAGAGGTTGTCATAAGAAAATGTTGTCTCCATTTGTTGTTTAGATCAGAGCTAAGTCTCCAGTTTCTGGGCTCAAAGACCATCCAATGAGCTCAGACACCGGTCAGCGTTCAGGTGCGCAGGTCATGAGGTTCATGCTCACGTTGTGTTAAACAAATGTCCTTCCTCCTTCGTGTGACTCACTCTGCTCCCACCTTTCAGCTGCGGCCACCGTCAACGGTGGAGATTTCCTGGACATCCAGATGCCGATCTCGAACGGCAACAACAACTCTCTCCCACCCTCTCCCAGCTTCCTGATGTCCCCAACGTATCCTCCATCCTCAGCTCCCCCGCCTCTTCCCTCCTCCCCATCCCCCTCCCCACACACGTACACCGCCGCGGAGCCGCACAGGCCGAACATAGTGAGTTGAGCTGTTTGACCTTTTATGTTTTATTTTATTTAAAACTATTTTCTAATTATTTCAGACTCATTTACTGGGTTGGCTGGTTTGGATTAAAAAGCTTTTTGTATTTTTTAAATTATTCCTAAAAGTTCCAGCTACGTTGCCGTAACGACAGCATCCTGTCCATAGTCCCAGAGCCGCCTGAGAAAGCATCCCTGTATCGCAGAGAGAGGGAAAAGGAAGAAGACTTCCACCCACGCAGGTGATAAAAATGTTCCATCAAGATGAATAACAGTTGGTTTCTCCAGTTTTATAAACTCTTATACACTCACTGACGAAAAACTGTCAAGCACATGGAAAGAATGCTGCAATATGAACATTATTTAGTCCACGTGCAGACCAACAATGAGCTGGTAGGTCTAGAACAGGCACCAGCAGGTTTCAGTAGTGACATCAAGAATGGTATGTTGGTGTTATCAGGTAGTTGTTGGAGCGTTCAACTGTCATTTAAAACAGTGAGTGTAGGGATGCCTTCTAGACACATTATGCATCATTATTAGAACAGGGTGGCATCCATTGGGGTCACATTGTGAGTTGGTTGAAGCTGGTTGGTTGAAGCTGGTTGGTTGAAGCTATCTTTTGTTCAGCATGTGGGGCATACCAGCGGCCCAGTAGCCCGATATTGGAAACTGAGCTTTCCCCCCAATTATCAAAATTAAAGTCAAAGTTTCTTTATGTGTCATACGCACCACATGTGGTACATGTGGTGGAACGAAATTGTGTACACAGAGTCCCAGTTACATCCAATAAAAGTATAAATTGTAAAGAAAAACAGTAATAAGATCTAAGATATGAACTAAGAAAAACGCTAAATTAAAAATACGCTAAGCACTAGTAGTATAAAAACAATTATCCAGTCTCAGCAGGACTTGCTTTGATTCTACTTGGGTCTACACGTTCTAAGTGGTATTAGTTAAACTTAAGTGCCACCTTGATGTGGGCAAGATCGTCACAGCGAAGCTGCCTGAAATTTCCAAGATATTATGTTCCGTCCGAGGTGAACTCAAGACAGAAATGGGCAAATGCCATATTCTGGCATGGTTTCTAAAACTGTTGTAGCAGAGTCGAGGCTACCTTCCTTTTCTGGTTGGAATCAGTAAATTGAGTGCATTTAGTCCAGCTCCTTCTGAATTCTGTCATCCATCCATCCATTATCTTTTACCTGCTTCTTCCATTTTGGGTCACGGGGGTCGCCGGTGCCCATGTCCAGCAATCACTGTGCGAGGGGTGGGGTACACCCTGGACGGGTCTTCAGTCCATCACAGGGACACGAGACAAACACTCTCTCACTCATACCCAAGGGACAATTTAGAGTTACCAATCAGCCTAACATGCATGTTTTTGGTCTGTGGGAGGAAACTGGAGTACCCGGAGAAAAGCCACGCATGCATGGAGAGAACATGCATACGCCACCCAGAAAGGTCCCTGGATCAGGATTTGAACTGGCAACCTTCTCGCTGAGAGGCAGCTGCTCTACCAGTTGCGCCACCGTGTTGCCCTGAATTCTGTCATCAGTAAGGAAATGTCTGCACCTCCTCATAGTACCTCAGTACCAGGTTACATGTTGGTATTTTAATGGACAGATCATATACACAGGTGCATCTCAAAAAATTTGAATATCCTGAAAAAGTTCAATTCATTTAGTCAGTCATTCCAAAAAGTGAAACTCATAATACATAAATTCATTACGCACAGTGAAATGTCTCTAGCTTTTTTTTCTTGTAATTTTGACGATTTGGGTGTTCGAATCCACCAGCAGTCACATGTCGAAGTGTCTCAGGGCAAGACACTGAACCCCTCGATGCCTCTGATGTGTGTCCCATCAGTGTATGAATGTGATCTAAAGCACTGATTAGTCTCTTTAGAATGATTTTTTTCAATTAGCTTTTTATAGATCTAGTAGAGTGCTGTAAAAATGGGTAAATGAGGACACAGACTGTAATGTAAAGCGCTTTGAGTATCTCGATAAGATAGAAAGGCGCTATATAAGTACAATCCATTTACCATGATTATGGCTTACAAATAATGAAAAAAAAAAGATAATTAGAATATTCCACAGCCAGCTTTTGTAAAAAAAAAAAAAACCTTTGGCAATGTGGGCAGGAGCAAAGTCCTGCTGGAAAAATCAGCATCTCCATAAAGCTCGTCAGCAGAAGGAAGCATAAAGTGCTCTAAAATTTTCTATTTAAAATATTTCACTCTATGTGTAATGAATCAATATAATATTTGAGTTTCACTTTCTGAAATGGATGACAAAACAAGCAGAGATTTTTCACAATATTCTAATTCTTTGGGATGTACAGTAGGCGCCCTACCTGTATTCTCAAAGGGATCTCTGACTACTTGCACATATTGGCCACGATATGTTGTTATTTATCTATTCTACTAAAAGTTTCTATTAGTGACCTGTGATGACTTCTAATTACCTAAAAAATAATATCTGTTTATTCCATTAAGGATGTCATCATTATTTTACCAGCGCAATGCATTCTGGGGTGATGACGTACATCAGTTGTAGTGGAGACTAAAACACAAGGAGCCAAGGCAAAAAAATTATAACATAATAAAGTACAAAACAATAAAGTTATATTCTTTGTTAGACTTTATGCACAAAATGACAAAAAAAAAAAAAAAAAGATCAGTCTTGATTTACTTCTGATGCTTCATTTATTAGCTAATGTCATATATCTTCAGCTTGACTTATCTTGCTTGGAACCTCAGCTGGGTAGGTCCTAAGAACCCAGCTGGAGGCAGGTGGGATAACTCAATGGAAAACTTCTAAGGTGCGCCAAGTTGACCCAAGTAGAGTCAAGTCGAGCCCATGGAAAAAGGCTCTAATAGGTACATGACTATACCCAAAGATGGTGTGAAGGTTCTCGTCACCTAACACAGACTGCACCAAGAAAGGATTGTGTACCATTCATTGCAGAGTCCCATGAACCTGCCACCTGGACTCAGGTATTGGACTATAAGTGGCATTGCATCACATCAATCCTATCATGGTAGCAGAGAGACACACCAGTGTTGCTCCTGACATCGTGTGGGGAACCATATGATCTGACTTCAAGTCACCCCTGATAGAGAGCTAAGGGACACTGACAGCCCCACACTGTTATTGACATGTCTTACCCATCCTAGATTACCTGCATCATGATGAGGTCCTCCTATAGTCAACCAGGTCTTGCAGTCTTCCTAATCAAATGTATGGAATCAACTTAGACGTCAAATCCAACCGAGGGCTGAGCTGCTGGATGACAAAAGTCAATTTCAGAAGCTGTGGACTGACGCTGTAAGATATAATGGCTTAATTACTCCATTCAGCACAGAAACAATCCTTGTTTCCAGGCTTTATGGGGTGTCATACACTACTGACATGGGCAGTGGGATCTTACTGCCCATTCTGTGATCATTTGCTCTGAAATAGTAATGAATCATTATAAATACAGTTGTATAAACTTTCAACACGTCATCAGTGTACTTAACTTTATTTGTAAGAGGGTATACATTTCCTTAGGAATTTATTTAACGCTTTTCTTTGAGTAATCATTGAATAATTAGATGTTTTGTTTTTTGTAGCCTCTCGGACAGCGACAACATGGAGATGGAAGGAGGTAACGACATTTTACATTTTCCTCAAAAGTAACAATGTTTTGTAAAATGACTCTCTTTGTTGACCGTTTTGTCTGATTCCTTCCGTTTTAGAGGACGCCCCTAACTCTGTGATCTCCTCCTCCTCCTCCCACCAGTCCGAGGGGATGGACACATATGATCTGGAGCAGGTCAACAACATCTTCAGAAAGCTTTCTTTGGAGAGGTACAGCCCAGTTACCCTCACACTTACATAACCAATGAGTACAGATAGCTTCATGCTGATGCTCATTTATGTTCTTGTAAATTTGTGCGCAGGCCATTCCGCCCGTCCTTGTCGTCTTTCTCAAGGATCAGTGCCACATTGAAGCCGGTTCAGGAGCTGTCGTTACTGGGCGACAACCTCCTGAAGGACATCACGCTGGTTGGTGGCAACGACAGGGGGATTTTCATTTCATCCGTTCAGCCGGGATCCAACGCTGAGAGAGGGGGCCTGCGAGAAGGTCAACACCTGCTGCTGGTACGACGCCGACTCACTGCGTTTTTTTTTTTTTTTTAATTACAGTGCCTTTAATCGTGGCTGAACAAAATATGAGTTGAAATCATGTTTGTTTGTTTTGTTCTCTGATTGACTAGTTGGAAGGGTGCATACGAGGGGAACGCCAAAGCATTTCATTGGACACCAGTACTCAGGAAGAAGCCCACTGGATGTTGCAGCGCTGCTCTGGACCAATCAGTCTGCACTACCGGGTCAACTTGGACAGTAAGTTGTGCTTCTATTGGACACCTTTGAGGTTAAAGTCAAGTTTGAAGCAGCTAGAATTTTAACTGGCGGATAAAAGTTGGCTTTTATCTTCTTCATTTTGACTTTTTTCTTCAAAAGTCCAAATGTCATTTGCTGGAGCTTTAGGATGAATGGGACTGTTTGCATAAATTTATTGGTGCATTCCTTCCAGCATACCGCCGCCTCCAGAGGGACCTCGCTGATGGCACGTTGCAATCGGGTGACTCTTTCTACATACGAATGAATCTGAACATCTACGGACAGTCGGACAGCTGCTCTTTAAACGTACGCTGTGATGAGGTGGTGCATGTGCTGGACACCAGGCATCAGGGTCGCTGCGAGTGGCTGTGTGCCCGCGTGGACTCCTACAGTGGATTGGACCAGCCCGAACGAGGCACCATACCATGCAACTCACGGTACTGAGGAACTTCTTTCCGACATGTGCTGTGATCTTGTAGACAGGAGCTCTTCTGGAGGCTCCAAAAATCACATCTATTCTATCAGGAGAAAACAGCTTTAAGGACTAACTGTGGTTGATGCGTTGTACAAAAACCCTTAGAGATTTTTCCGCGTGTGCATTTGTGTGTTTGTAAATGCTTGTAGAGCGCAGCAGCTGCTCCTGGTGAAAATCCAGAAGTTGGTGTGTCGAGGCGGCAAAGAGGAGAATGACCATCGCAACGGCAGGGTAAGAATCAGTCGGATTTAGCTTCAGTCTCTTAATAGCTCCGCTGAGAGCCACAAATTTACACAATGTTCAATGTTCCTATTTGACTTGACCATGAGGCTCAGAATGACACTTTTAGGCCTTTTGAGTGGGAAACACACTGCTTTACTTACAACTGTTGTTTTTAAAGCTGTGGTTATTTTCTCGTATTTTTAAATCTATTCTATTTTTTAAAGTAACAACTGATCTATACATTAATAACTGTTTGAATGATTGTTTAGACAGGAAACAAAAAAAAAATGCAGCTTCCCAACACTGTTTTAAACTAAGATCATCTACCACTGAGACACAATGGAGTTGTAGCCATTTGGGTCAAAATCTTCAAATATTTTGTGCACTCCAACAAAGTTCAGTCAGGTCATCTGGATGGTTTCTTTTTTTTGTTGAGATGTTCCGTCCTTCATCCAAAGGACTTCATCAGTCCGAGGAGCCACAACAAACTCAGTCCCACAAGTTTTGAACCACTTTGGCCATGGCTGCCTCAGAGGAGTCAATGGGGGAGAGGGTGGGCCCCAGAAACCATGTTATCACCAGCAAACTGGTTGGCCCACTATGTGAGTGTGCTGCTTGTGGGATTGAGTTTGTTGTGACTCCTTGGACTGATGAAGTCTTTTGGATGAAAGTCAAAATGTATCAACAAAAAAGAAACCATCCAGAGGACCTGACTGAACTTTATTGGATTTTTTACCTGGATTATTGAGCATGAACTTTGATATTTTGTGCACTCATGAAATATCCCCAGATCTCAGAGTATGTGGTGTAAACAACTCTCAACTACTATCACAACAAATTTTGGCTCAATATTTGTAAAATTAACTGAATTATAGCCCTTTTTGTGTTTTTACTTATTGAGAGAACATGTTGTATCTCAGCAGCATTGTGTCACTGTATTAAAGTGTGAACCTCTCTCATCTTCATGCATGTCTAGAACAATTTACAGCCAGAAGAATCCAGCTCCTCTCCCGATCCTAAAGCTAGTCCACGTTTGTCCAGAGCTAGCATCTTCCTCAGTCAGATACTACAGGTAACAACACATCTGTTCAGAGCTACAACAAATCAAAGCTACTACAACCTTTCCCCGAAATAAACTTGACAAAAGGAGCTCTTAGCTCAGGGGTCTGCAACCTGTGGCTCTTTGGTTCCTCTGCAGCGGCTCTTTCAAGCTTTGACTAAAACTGACATAAAATTGAATTGTATTGGTTGTACAAACAACAACAAAAAGGATTAGTTCAAACTGTTTTCCTGTCATTTCTTTTGCAAATGTGTGAACAATAGAGTGAGTATAAAGAGTAAAACATACCTTAACTTGATGCTTTATTTCTTTATATTCAGAACATTCTGCATTGTTTAGAAAAAAGTTATTTAAAAAAATGGTAACAACTGATTTTTTTCCCCACAAATTTACAAGAATCTGGCCTTTTTCTTTAATAAATGTTAAAAATCATTAGATATTTCATGCTTTATAATGTCACCCCTACTGGCCACAAATTCCCCCCCCCAGCAAACCTAAAGTGGCCTATGGGCCACCAGTTGATGACCACAGTTGTGGCAGGTAGTTGCGGCTCCAGACACATTTAATGTGCTGAACGAAGGCGTAAAAATGGCTCTTTTGATCGTAACGGTTGCAGACCCCTGTCTTAGCTGTTTGTGTGTATTTGTCCTAGTTTGTCAGCAGAGTGGACATCAAATACAAGCGGATGAACAGCAATGAACGTGTAAGGATCATCAACTCTGGCAGCACATCACTACCAAGACAAAGCTTTGAGATGATGAGACAAGAAGGTGAGCTCAAGGCGCTGCAGAAGAAAAACAGCAGGCTCTCAGAATTCACATTAAAAGCAGCACCTTTAATAAAAGAGGCAGTGGACGGTTAGATGCTAAAAGGAGACATGTTAGACATTGTAACTACTAAAAAAGTGTTAATCTATGTATGAGGTATTTGTAACAGATCTCTCTGAAGGTTGCTGATAGATTAAATTTAGAAAAGGAAGTAGAAGTGCAGTTGAGGTGTACAAAGTCAAACACATCTGCTGAACTATGAGACTTGAAATCAACTGAAGTAAACAGTAACTCAACTGAAGTAAACAGTAAATCAACTGAAGTAAACAGTAAATCAAC